GGGGCCGGGTCGCGGGGGCAGCAGTCTGAGCAGGGACACCCAGACATCACAGTTGGTTTATAATAAAAACAAAATAGTGCAGCAAATTTGTACACTCCTGCAGGAAGAGTCGAAAACAGTCAAAAAGTTATAGGATAAATGTCACCTAATTGATCCCAAACTATTTTTTATGTATTGCAACTATTTTGTCTTTGTTGGTCGAGTGGTGGTCAGAGCAATTCAATCATCTTCCACTAGGTGGCAGCAGGTGGTTAATTAAAACTAAAAAAAGGTAATCACAGCTGTTGAAGAAGAGCTTTGTGAGTGTCTTTCTTCAATTCCTGCCAGTATCAGCACTGCCTTAAACTAAATAGGAGTAGTTGTGCCATGGCTCAAAAAAAAGTTTGGAAACACTGCTCTAGAATTCCAAAAAAAAGGAATTATCTAACAAGATAATTCTTGTCAGATTTTAGTTTTTCCACCTAATTTGACAATATGTAGAGAAATAACTTTGTTTTCTTTTTCTTGTAATTTATCTTGAAACTTTTTGACCCCTCATGTTTAGTCGCAGCAGCTTGTTCTACCAGCCCTGCCCTACACTTTACCATTAAGAAATTGTGTAAATTCTAATTCCCTTCTATTTTTCATGCCCACAATTTAATGAATATAAATTCATGGCAGTTCACAGGCCCTGGATCGGACTTGCGCATGAATAATCCTTTCATTGTTGTTCTTATGGTGATTCATTACCTTAGATTAAAAGCGGCCAGTGGGGCCGATGGTCTGTTAGGATTGTGAGTAATTACAGTTTTGGTTCCACAATTATCACAAAGGGAAAGAAACTCGAGGAAGGAAACCAGAGTGACCCCCGCAGAGTAATGGGCACAAAGCTGTACCTGAAGCCCAGGCAGCCGGAGCCGTGAGGGGGCATTTTATGGAGGAATATTAGCTTAGTCACACGGCCGCATTAACGGGCTCATTACCCACTGTTATGCAGAGAATATATTTCTGATTAAAGGTTTCACAAGTAATATTTGATGACTTTTACTTTTTGTGAACATAAAACATTACATTACTCATTACTACACTCCACTACACTCCCAAACGATGGTACTCGCCCCGTGTTCTGCTCTGAACAAATGTTCCACTGTTGAGATAGTTCTCACTTATGGAGTTAATGCCACAGTGATCAGCTGCTGGCAGAGGCTGCTTTGTTGAGTGGAGCCTGAGGGTCATGTGACCAGCTAAAGAAGCTGGTAAAAATAGAAATGAACAGCAGTATATCTTTAACAGACTGCTGTTTGTTTTCCAGCAGAATTTGTTACAGACAGATACAGTAAGAGAGAGAGGAGTTATAAAAAAAAAAAATCAAACTCCAGTCATTATAGATAGATGTACCTCATTGATCCCAGGCTGGGAAATGATCATTATTGACATGTAGTTACAGGAGATGTCAGTAATGATTTAATTTTGCACTTAATTGTTTTGTTTGTGTATTCACTGATGCAGTGTTGTATTATATAGTTGTTGTTGTTTTTTTAAACAAAAACAACACTGTTTAAGACGTCCTGATCTATACTGTAGAGTAAAAAGTGAAGACGACTGCAGTACTGCTGAGTACTGCCGAGTACCACACACAAAATGTCATCGTTGCTTATTTACACCAAAGGTGTGTTGACACGTCTGTAGGTCTCTGTGGGAATTGTTGCATAGAGCCAGATCAATCCTTTGGTTCTAACCCTCCTCATGCACTACAGTATGAACACCATCCACAGATACTACTGTATATGTATGTATTCTGTTCTGCTTCACAAGCTATAATGTCACACACAGTCTGTGTCTTTTGCTCTTCCGCAGCCAAACTGGAAGTCTGTTTATGTTATAGTACGTGGCTGTTTTTTATTCTGAGCGCGATGCTTTTCAGGCAACACACTCGGAAATGTCCCTCTGTCTCCTGGTACAAAGCCACGACACCAATCAGATGGCTTTCCATTTAAGTCATTTGCAAAGTTGTTCAGCATTCAGTCAAACACAGTCCTGTGTTCTGTCGCCCACACACACACAAACACAGTCCTGTGTTCTGTCGCCCAACAGAACATGAGGCATCATTGAAGTGTTCCACATTACGTAAAATCAAAACAAGAGCTTTTGTTGTGTTAGTTGGTAGAAATCAGTTAGCAGTTAGCAGTGCTTATGTATCACACTGAGAGTCTTTACAAACAAAGTTGAGCTCCAGGAGAAACACTGATTCTAAAACATCTCCGTATCTGTGTTTGGAACTGAAACATCTGAGGAAGCAATAAAGATGAAGGGTCTTGGTGAAGCCCATTTTATGAGCTTTGCGTCATAATGTTCATAGGTGGGCCACTCAGTTCTCATGAATCTCATCTGGCTCTGAGATCAAACTCACTCATCCGGCCCACATTCCTGTTGCTAGGCTAATAAAATTGTTGATGTTGCTGTCAAATATACAGCTTTTCTTTACTGTGTGATGGTTGGAGATCTAAAATATGTTGATGTGAACATTGTGGACTCATGTTGTGTTGGTGGGAGCGTTCTCTGGGACTTTCCATCTCGTCTTGGGGAGTTGGTGGTATCACACCTGGAACTTTCTGATTCTTTTGACTCATTACAAATTGTTGTCTAAAATACTTTTTTTTTCGTGTAGCTGCAGCAGCGTTATGTCTGCAAGATTTCATAAATGCAAAAGTTGTACTTCCTTAAATAAAGTTCACCATCTAATAATGTGTGTCACGGAAAATGTAAATATCTGCTGGTCCTCCGTACTGTTGTCACGAAGTGCAAACAATCCTCTAATTTGACTTTAGCTCAACTCATTTTTGGGTTGTATTTCACTGGTATGACAGACCTAACGGTGTCAAACAATTAGTCTTCATTCAGAACTGTCACCCTCACTTGGTCGGTAGTTTTTTATTCTTTTAAAGATGTGAAAAATGCTCATTAAAAGCTTTCCAGTCTCAGTGTGTGTAATTTATGCTTCTCTTCCTGTGGGACTGACTGATTTTTTTTATTCAGTGTCATCACTAAGCATCAGTAGGGAGCAGCAATCACGACTGTGACGGCTCATTTCAAGTAAAAAGTGTTTTGTCTTCACTGCCGATGATTTGTGTTTGTTAAACTGCTCTCCAGTTTTTGACGGCTGCAATTATCTATTTCTATTAATCCCCGAGTCACGCTGGCATGAATTATGCCGTATAGAACCCAAAACAGAAAGAGCTATTGATTAGTTGTGTAATTGAGGCATTTACCTTTGAGCGCCCACCTGTTTTCTATTTCCTGCGCGTGCCGCTCGCCGAGCTGAATGATGAATGGCTGTCTTCAACCCAAAAAAAGTTTAAGGCTCCAAACTGAGCAGTAACGAATATCAAGACTTCTAAATTGGGTTAAGCTGGCAGCCTCTGAGAAGTCAGATACACACAGTGATGTATTACGCTGCATGAGCAAACACTTTATTTAACTCTAGGTCCAAATAAATATCATAAATGAAACCCATGGATCAATATAATGTATAAAAAGCCACACTGAGTGTTCGCTTCTGCTTTCACTTGAAAAAGTAATTCCATTCTTAAACTAATTGCTCCACCACGTCACCGCGCTATGCATCACCGGCAGAAGCAGCCAAGTTAAATTTAAAGTTTGTTGGAGTTTAACAACTTCAGAGCCTGTGGAGTCAAAGACAGTTTGAATATCATCGACTGGACCGAGGCATTTTGGTCCAAGAAGAAGAAGAAGAGCAGACGCCTCTCAGTTCTCACTCACTCACTCTCACACCTCTCCCCCTGTTGTGCCTCTGTTTACTCTGTACCGTCTTGATGCTGCGGTGACTTTAGCGACCCCCAGCCGTAGTGGTCCCTTTACAAAAACTCTGCAGGTCAAACAAAAACAAAAACCCATCCATAATAACAAGGGCTGTTGGCTGAGCAGATATTAGATGATCGGACAGCTGAATTGCTCCAAATGATGCAAGATGCCCCTGGAAAGCAAAATCACTCTCCAAAAAATCTCCAAGGAGCCGGGGTTGAACTTCACGCGCGGCTGCACTCGAAAACAAAGTGGCAGCCGAGCGTGTACACTGTCAGCTCTGCACACTCACCCGCCCGGAGTCGCCAGAGTAGCTGCTCTTATTTGTCAGTTTTTAAGCGGAACAAATGTTTTCAACGGCGGCGGCGTCTCAGCTTCTGATGCTTAGGAACAATGAGATTATAGGCTTTTCATATACACTGTACAACTTGTGTGAGCGGAGGTTGGAAGGATGGAGGAGAGGGGAGGGGAGGGGGAGGAGGGAGGTGGTTGATGCTCTGGGATGGTTCACAAACAAGGAGCACAAGGAGCGGAGGGGGGGGGGTGGTGTCTTTGAAGTCCTGTTAATGCTCTGTAATGAGCCAAAGATGAGAGGGTGGGTAATCACACTTAGACTCCAGCTGTGTGCTGTACGAATACACACACACACACACACACACACGAGCACAAGCATTAAAATTATTCTGATTTCAGCCTCTTAAATAATGCTACTTTTAAATGTACTACATTTACATATAATCTCCATAAAAGTTGGTGCACTTTTTCAAAAAGTAATAAAAGCCTTGATTGTGTAATTGTGGTGATTGGAACCATAATAATGAGAAGTAGGACTGAAAAAGAACCTGTTCTTAACGAAAAACGTTTTAACACACACACACACACATATGTGTATGTGCGTAAGAGAGATACTGTATGCAAAATTTCTTTTTTCTAAACTTCACAGCAGTCTATTATTTCGAATTTCTGTCTGATGGAGAACTTTTTTATGTGTAATTCATGAGAAATGGCTGATGAAGTGATATATATATATTATATATAAAAATATACTGTAAAATTTTATAAATATATATAAATATATATATATATTTCATGTATTTATTTATACATTCTGTATATAGCGAGAGAGTGAGTGAGAGATGGTTTTAGAAAATAATAACTGACACCTAACCTTTGACCTCTTCTGTCTCTCCCCCCTCCAGAGATATTCCTAGGTCACCTAGCCTACAGCTATGGTCAGCTCCTCTCCATCACCTTCACCTCGGAAACTTCAGAGCTGCTTCCCGACAACGTTGCCGTGATCCTTCAAGGCCCTGGGACCGCCCTGTCAGCTGACCTTTCACCACAACTGGTGCCCGAACACGACCCTGACCTCCTTCCAAGGCACACCTTCAGCATCAGGTACAGTAACACAGGCGTGCAGAAGTTTGTCGGGTTTGGAAAACTTCATTTCTTCATGTCTGGGTTAAAATGGAGTTTCTGTGAGAAATACCGCAGTGTTTGCCTGGGTGTCAGCATGAAAGCGGTTGTTGTGGAGTTTGTGTATCGGCGCCTTCTTCTCCGTATTCACGTTCTTGACTTGACTTTCTCCACACAATGCTAAAAATATAACAAAGCCCGCAGAGCGAGACAATCCTGGACACGGACGTAGTGACTACAGCTTATCCAAACTGACTCTGCTGTCACGGTCCCAGCAGAATGTCAGGACATGAAAGCAGCGATGAGCCAGCTCTCCCATGTCCTGGCTGTCAGGTAAGCCTGCCAGTTACACAGCAGCAGCAGCGGCGTCGCATTCTCATTCCTACATTTTTACATGTATCGCATGGTCTTACCCAGAGTAACGTGAATCCTCATCAGCAGCGAAGAGTCACGGAGAGTGCAGCGAAGACCAAATTTACACCGCTTTATTATTCACCCTGGATTCTGGATAAAACTGGATATAGACGCAGACCAGTGCAGAATAAGTTGTCCCAAAGTGGGGAGACAAGTTTGGGATGTACTTATTAGACGAATGAGGCCTGTTCTGTTCCAAGGGTTGTGGGACAATTTTCTATTTTGCAGTTATTTCAACAATCTTTAATAAAGTATTGATGTGAGCATATGCATATAAAAGGAACACTTGAAGTTACGCATCCCTTTGAACACGAAAGTGCTCCTCTTTATTTAAAGTCTGTGGTGTTGGAGATGTAATTCTTTGTAGTTTTATTTGCTGCTGTGTGTGTGCGTCTACGTCAGAGTGAATTGCTGAGTTCTTACATAATGGTTTGAATTCAGTTTTTGTTCCAATTTCTTTAACTACGGATTTTTTTTTTTTTTTTTGCTTGAAACGCGTTTGACCTACAAACCAAACTGCTGTTAAAAGCTCGAGTGTTAAAATGTCAAGGTGGATGAAGTGGATTGTGTAATATCCCACCACTGAATGCAACGTACAGCGCAAACGTACGCATTCCCTTTCACACAGATGATAATAGATAATAACAGATGTGGAGGCACAGAGTCATTTCATGTCATTAAACATACATTTTCACAGACACACGCACCATATATATATATATATATACGATACAGGCATAATCCATTCCAGGACCGAGCTCGTAACTTGCATAGTTTTTTCCCGTAAGAAATAACAGAAACAAAAATGTATCCATTCCGGCCCTCTAAAAAACTCCCTTCTTAGTGCTAATAACAAATGTAAAAAAACATGTTTCCTCTCATATTTATCGACAGTTTCATGCTTTATTTCCATGGTCATCATACGGAAGTCGACGAACAAGTGAGGCGTCGTATCTCAAAGTAAAGATGTGCTTGAAGGCTTGCTCGTATCTCGGAATACTCGTCTGTTGAGACACTCGTATCTCGAGGTTCCACTGTATAAGTTCACAGAATGTTTTAAAAACTGGAGAGCAAAAAAGATAAGACTTTATTTATTCCAAACCAGAGAAATTCAGTTGTTGTTACAGCAGCAGGACAGACCTGTAGTGGCAACAGTAAATGTAGGCCTACTTTAAAAAAGTCTTTTAGTTGGAGAAACCCAACAACTGTCAACTGAGCAGTTACAGTTAATTCAGTACTTTTTTATTCCTACGTTAATGTCTCCTTATATTCATCAACGTTACAGTAGGAGCCCAGTTCTGGGCAGTCTGCCAACTCCGACTCTACTCTTTCTTGATGCGAGATTATGACACGACTCATTCAAGTGCCAATTTTCAGCCGTGTGCGTTGCTGTCAGCTCCAGTCGCGGTGCTTTTCTCCGCCTCGCGTTGTTGATTGTTATCAAGACGAGCTCTAATTGGAAATAATGGAGGAGGCAGGCGACGATTTTCTAGGAAAGAAATGCTACCAACTACTCTGACCTGTTGGAGAGTCCGTTTGTTGTTGACGTTGACCCGAAGCAATTTGTGACTGTGTCACTGTCACTTTCCCAGTGGGAGATCCTTCGTAGGGTCTTTCAAATGACACCAGACGTCCATCAGTTCTTCTGGGGCTGCGTTTCTCTATAGTCACCTGCAGGCATTTTTTTAAATTATTTTTTGCTTGTCTTTAATGGGAATGGTGTCCAACCAGAGGTGCGTGCTTGACAGCGGCTGAACTCTTTTGTGAGACATGGGGTAGGCAGTCATATAATCAATTAATTTTTTTTCTTTGAAGAGAACTCAATAACCCTGTAAACCTGAAGGGAGTGGGTGCAGCTGGCCTGGTCTCCACGGTAACACTTACCAAAAAAACAGAGGTTTCAGTTATTCAGCCTATTTCTGTTTGACTTTCCCGCTTGGCTTCAATGCTGCTAATCCTTCTCATCCCACTCACCACCTCTGTCATGCTGTTTTGTTTCAATTTGTCTTGAATCCTGCCCATGTGCTTCTATCTTTAATTCTCCCTTTCAGGACCCACGGACCAACTTCACTTCCTGCCTGTAAGCCTACGCTGAAGGACCTCTTATTTCTCTTTGAAGGGATTTGGAGTTCTCTGTTTTACAGGGACAGTTTAAAATGAACCCCCCAAAAAAAACAACCTCTTAAATTTAATTAGACCATGTTCATGTAATGCACTACCAAGTTCTGCATTGTCCTGCCTTTGCTCCAGAGAAAGACTATTCTACTTCATTAGCTCTTAAAACTTTCCGCAGAGATTAAACGTACATCTGGGATCACACGCTCACCGCTGGGTTAGAAATGAGCAGCTGGGCTGTCGGATGCTGCTGAGTGATATCTGTGAAGGCAGTGAAATGTATCGACTGAAGACATTGAAGAGAAGGAAGGTTTCTGTGTTACAAGAACGTTGTATCGGTGAAAACGGGGAACGAGGATCATTCGTTGTGTAGTTTGCAGTGAGAAGAAAACCTGCAGGTTGTGTTTTCACTGAAGGCTTTAACTCGGACTCAGTTGTCTAAAGTCATCCTGCAATTATTGGCAGTTTGGACAGTTGTCGATATACTCATGCTGTAATGTGAGAGTGGGTGAGAAAGAAAGATTTGACGAACCCCAGTGTAGTCCTGATTTGTTTGGTGTGGATACAGATGGGTTTCCAAGGCTTATGTAAGAGTGAAAAATAAAAAAGGCAATTAAAAAAAAAAACAATAACAGCAAATGTTGACTTAGGAGTTAATTAGTGGTGTACAATTTTAGATCAGATCATTTCAGTGTCTATGGCAGATACTGATACGATAACATATGAACATGTGATATTTTGACCACAGTTAATACAAAAGCTGTGACTCTTTCAGTTTAATTATTTCTATGGTAAGGTAAATATTGCATATAAAATATATACAACATATTTTAACGTACTTCCAAAATGTTTTTAAACAGCTGTGTAATAGACTCTCCCCCCGTGATAAGTTGTGTTTTCATCGTCTGATGCGGTGAAAACATCCAGACCAGCGCTAATATTGTGTGCTAGTTCTGGTTAGCTGTTTTCGTTCAAATGCTACAGGCTCTGGCATTAGCAGTAGAATCTCATTTATTATTTTTTATAAACAAGCTGAAATACATACAACAACATTTTTCCTCTACATTTTCTCTACAAGTTTGTATTGCTAAAAAACTAATAAAATCAAAAGTTAACATAGGTCTGCTTGTTTAAAAGAAAAAATGTTTTAGCTAACAGTTTTGGAAGTTTCTAGCTTTGGAAATGACACTGTATTTTTCAGTGGTAACTTTAATTCTTTCAGTCATTGTTTTTGAGTGGAGACTGCAGTGCTTCCCACTTTTTCATCTCCATCACAGAACCCAGGCCCGGGACTGGGACAGGAAATGTGAAGGATCTTGTCTCGTTCTGGTCCCCTCATGGCACGGTCGGGTGTCTCAGCTCCAATAATGAGTTCCCTCTTAGCACCACGAGCCCAGGCAAGAGGTGCTACGTGACTCCCTCAGTGAAGTGCAGTGGGATAAAAACTATCATTAAGTCGGCCTCTCTGGAGAAGTTCTGCTCAGATCTCATTACAATCGTCAGGTACATGCACAGATGCACTTGAGTGCGTTTTCTGCCATTTCCTCATACTTCCTCACACACACACACACACACACACTCAGACAATCTTATGAAGATTCTGTACAACCTTGAGCTAATTCACGTGGCCATCTGGCAGTGTGATTCCAAGCATTCTTACGCGGGATGTGCATCAAAAATAATTGCGTTTGGAAAAAAAGTCAAATTAAAGTTTTATTGAAAGCATGAATAAACATAAGCAGAGACACTCACACCCTGGATCGGTTTGAATGATTCATAGCGGGTTGATGTTGTAACCTCTTAATCTGGTATAAATTCCCACTTGCTGCAAGGATAATTTCAGATGAAGGATGTTACGGAAGCGTGGAGACTCAGAGTCAGAGGGGAGATGAGAGGAGGAGGTGAATGGCTTTTATGAAGCGTAATCTACTGGATGGCGGTTTTCTTTTCCTTCTCATCTTTTTGCTGTGAAACTGGTGGGCTTTTAACCACTACTCTGCACGTTTCTTTTTTAAGTGCGAGCCAGTTTGCAGTTGGTAAGAACCAGAAGTGTGGCAGTCATGCGGCACATCTTTCCCGTGCTCTTCTCTGTGCAAATACATATGTTGAGCTGAGCCCAGACTGTTGGTGAAATAAAATCATGGTTAGTATAGAGGACTGAGCCGAGAAAGGAGAAAGATGAAATTAGAAGTTTGACATGATTTATTTATGCTTTGGTTTCCCTTACTGTTCAAGCTTCTGGCTCCATCTTTGTCTGATCAGCATCAGACTCATCGTAACCAGGTCTGTTGAAAATATTTTTGTGAAAGACATCGTTATTGATTTGTGTATTTTGAGTCAACACTACAGTATATGTGAGTACTTTTTTTTAATCTAAACTATCTTTAGAAATGAAATCCAGCCAAATAATTACAGTGTACATAAAGACGTCTGTATGTATTTACTTCCTGTCTTTCCCCGTTCCTCAGCAGCAACAAATACATGACTTTGTGCAAATGTGTGAAACATCTGAGTGACATTTAGAATCAGAACTACTGAATGAATCCTCGCGGGGTATCTGGGCGTAGGGTCGGAGGGGGCGTGGTAATTGCAAGTTTGTCATTGAAAGTATTCCTTTCGTGCCTTAATGTTTGATAGAGGATGTCGAACGTGCAGTCACTAAAAATGGATTTTAGTTAGTACTTCTTTTTTTTTTAGTTGGTGTGCAAATGATTCGATAAAACATTTACTTGGGACTTGAATGGTTGTCCACAACTAATCACCCATTCATAAAAATAATAATAATAATAATTTCACCTTTATCAAGTTTCAACAGCCTTATACACAGAATGATAAATATGTCTATTTTATGCAAATGTTAATTGTTATCACAAAGGTTTTGACTCAGAATATTACCATGATACCATCAGAGGTATACTGACATAATACTGACATGATATACTACTATATATATATATACACTTATATACTATAATGCTTGAAGTTTGATAAAAATATTTTTTCCTCATTTATGTAAAGTCGTACCTAAAACAAAGTAAAGCTGTATAAGTACTGCAGTTATAACTGAGTTAACATTGACGGTGCATAACAAAAGTAACTTCTGTTGAGTTTTTGAAGCAGATGTTACTACAGTGTCACTGCAGGATCTGTATTTAATTCTATTATTATTATTTTTAAAATAGCATCAAAAGTAATTTCCGTGAACTCGCCGTTATCACTTTCACAATTTACAATATGTGATTGTTGCTGTTGTCTGTGAGAACTGGACCCTCAGGTGGAGGCACGAGCTGGAAGACTAGACTCCAGCGTCATTTCTCTCCTTCCATATTCAAGTCTTCATTCTCGATTGGTTCCTCCTCAGGAGTCGCCCACAGCAGACTATCAATCCCACATGTTCCAGCCTCGCAGCTTTGCTTTTTGCTGGAAACTATTTAGTTTTAGGAGGAAACAGTTTTAGTGAAAATGCACCTGTCTGTTTTGTTTCCTCTCCAGCAGTCATGCCATGACAAGCCATGTTTTTCTTTTCTCTGTTAGCACTTAGGTGGAAAAACACTTATTTTCAGGCTGTTATATTCTTTGGTGTTGCGTTTTTTTTTTCCCAGGGAAAATTTCTGTAAACACAAAAAAGAACATTTCTTACTCTTTAATTTCCATCAAACAACAAATGGATGGCATACGTACGGGTTTGTAGAAAAGGTTTATACAGTACAAAACGTGACACAGCACATGCAGTAATATGACGATGTACTGTAGTACTCTGTCTCCCCAAATCACACTGAACACTTTGAAGGGATTTAAGTGAATTAATTATTTAAAAAACAAATATTAACAAGAGGGAAGTCAAAAAGCTCCAAGACAAATGGAACAATATTCTTTATTTACACTAGGTTTTCTGAAGGTTTTTGAGCGACTTTTTTTCGGGCGATGTCTTTGGCACCACAGACTTACTTTCTGCCTGATCTCAGGTCTGAAATTAAAATTATGTAAACACATCAGGCAGACATTCACCTGACATGTCAGAAAAAAAATCAATTTATCATTTTCTGTACATTAACTCAACATAATGTGCAGCTTTAATTTGATACTTTTTTTAGATTGTGTTATATGTTGTTTTATATATACTTTAGATTGTGTTATATGTTGTTTTATACACAAACGCTCTTGTTTTGTACACTCCCCTCTGTTGCTGCAACACGACAATTTCCCCAGTGTGAAATCTAATCTGATTTAATCTAATCTAATCCTAAATCATCTGCTCGTTTTGGTCAAGAAAAAAAAATGCCAGCAGCTAGATCAAATCCTTCCTCAAAGTTTAAATAATCTGAACAAATAACAAAAAAACTTTAATGTTTGCTCTGGTTTTAAATGTTATTATTTTTAAGGGTTTGATAAAAACCTGATGAATACAACATAAGAAAGTCATGTTGATAAAACATGTAAATGTTGTCAGAGACATAGATGAGAGATTTTTTATATATATTTTTATAATAACATCTGTCTTAGAACTTTCTGACCCCCTTATGCTTGTAGCAGATTAAAATGACGTTTCACCACATTTCAAACTTTTGTACTTTAGTCATATTTTATCTGTTATTGTTGCAGTTATTTTATTTTCAGATACTAACAGACCTCCGTACAGTCGTGTTTCCCCTTTAAATCTATATTTTCTTTTACGTCTTCCACTTTAACTCACCTCGTATCTCAACCTTCGCTCACAGCGTAAGGACACATTCTCCTACACACACACACACACACACACACACACACACTTTGGGCCTTTTTCCTCTTGATGATCTCCTCTCATCCTCCGTGGACGAGGCCTAATTACAACATGGCTCTGCTAAGCGCTGATTAAAAAGGACACTGGCGTGAAGTTTGTTCACTTCCACACTGACTCTGCTTATCACTGACTGACCAGCTCCATTACCAGGGCTTCTGGGCCCAGTTTGTAATTGCCTCTCTCTATTACTGTGCCCACATGTCGGGCCAGAGGAGAAGGAGCAGCTGTGACAATGTACAGACTTTGGCCCGGAATATGCCAGAACATTTACACACAAACGCACACTCCGTGCCATACGTAGAGTGTGTCTGAATGATTTGCAAAGACAAAAAGCTGAAAAGTTCTTAGTGAAGTGGATTGTATAAAGCCAATCTATACTTTGTTGTCTTCATTTATTTATATTTAATTTAATATAACTTGTAATTGTGCTTGTGGTGAGAGGTCAGCCGCAGGTGTAACCCTCTGAGTTCAGGTGAGCAGGAACCCAAGGCTGAAATAAGATCAAAGTCATCCTCGATTTCCTTTGGAGCCTTTAACACATTTTAACCTCTTGGATTAGAGCCGCGCAGCGTATGGGCCCAGAACCTGTTTACTAACAGCTGCCGTTCTGCAGCTGTTGCTAAATAATTTACTGAAAAAAATTGTGAGAAACTCATATTGGTTTCTCAGCACACTTTTACTGTTAGGAGGAGTTGTGTGTAAGTGGATTTCCTTCACCTTACTTGATTGTGTGAATGAAGTTATTCTTTCTTCGTCTCCACACCTGGGAACGTCCAACAGTTGTGAGAAATATCCACGGACTGACTGTGTGTTGGGGTAGAACTGAACCGTGTATCGTCGTCCAGTGACACCTGGGTTAGAATTTACTGATTCACCTTCTTAGATATTTATTATTATTTGTTCATATTTTATAAAATTTAATTTGATATATTTTATATCCTGAACATGTGGTGTTTGTGTGTGTTTCTTTTTGTTTTAAAAAGCAAGTGTGTCCTATTGAACACCCCAGCGGGCCAGTTCTGGTCCACAGGCCGTATGTTTGACACCCCTTCTTTAGAGGAAAGCGTTCCACCAACATTTGCCAGTGTGGCCCTATAGACAACATCTGAACCGTTACTCGCCTCTCGATCGCCGTCTCTACTGTTACCTGGGATGAAACAGGCAGAACATAGCTGTAGAGTCTGTCTCTGTAGAACATTCTGTCACAGCTCAACGCTCAGTGATCAAGACCTGGAGCACGTTTAGAATTTTTTACTTCTCTGTCTGGAGGTACAACTGTTGGAAGTAAAGACCGGATCAGTGTGTTTTAGGATTGGGGGAAAAAATGACTTTTATGTAACGTTAGGGATATACCCAAAAAAAAAGAAAGGAAGATCAGAGTCCTGCCACGGTCAGGATCACAAGCCTGTTCTTTGACCTCTGTTGGATGCACAATTTAAAGTCTTATTTATTCTCTACAAGACAGTTGAGTCAGTTGATTTGTGTTTAAATGTGACAACGTTAGCACCAAAGTATCGAAAGCGTATGTGAAGAGTCGTCTTTTACTGTCTTTTCCCTTTCAGACTTCATGAAAATGACAGAAGATTCCAACCATCGCTGACGGCCTTTGACTTTCAACGTCTACTTCACAACCTGACAGCCTTTAGAATCAGCAACGCTGGAGGACACAACTGTGAGTGTTGATCTGAGTAAATGTCAGCATTTGTGGTGAATCCATTTTATTTTTAGCTGAGAGGAGGTACAGCGTGAAATGAAGGTGTTCAACAGGAGGAACTCTCTGTGGGGTGGTGATATCTGTCGTCCTGGATCATATTTGTTCATGATTAGTTGATAATGTTTTTTTTTACATAACATAAAACAAATATCCCTACTTTCTTCCACTGACAATATTTTAAGTAAATTAATATAAGTTTATATAAATAAACCTTGAATAGGCTTCACTGGGGTACAATGGTGTTGATGGGGCTCTCCCTGCAGGGTGCCCTAAAAAACAGAATTTGTTTTTTCTTTGTCATTTTCTTGTGTTTAAATTATTTGTTTGATCAAATTTTCAACAATAGCAAAATATCATCATTTTTCTTTAAATACAGTCAGAGAGGAGTGACATCAAAAGGAGTGAAGGAAAATATGTATGGACTATATGGATGGAGTGACCACAGGGGTCCTGCTGCCTCCTTGGCCTGAAAAAACACTCCTGACTTTAACAATGAAATAACATTTAAAAAGGCAATGTGAAACTTCCTGTGAGTTAAACTAAAGTAC